TATTTGTCTTTTATATACACTCCCGGAGTGTATATAAAATCTATTTGTCTTTTATATACACTCCCGGTGTGTATATATTAAGATCTATTTGTCTTTTATATACACTCCCGGAAAGTTGATAGGGCATTCGAATGATCTGTCGCCGGTGCGAAGACCGCGCGATCGGCTGTGTTATCCGGAGTCACCAAAGGGACCGGGGCGAACCCCGGGTTGGTCTTGGTCTGATAAATGCACGCCAGACCGTGAGGTCGGCGCTTCTTCCGCATGTATTAGCTCTAGAATTACCACAGTTGGATGTGACGATCAAAGGAACCATAACTGATTTAATGAGCCATTCGCAGTTTCACTGAGACAGTTTAAACTTGCACGTGCATGGCTTAAACTTTGAGACAAGCCTATGACTACTGGCAGGATCAACCAGGTAGCGAGGACGCCAGGGGCGGGGCGGTCCGCTCGACCGAACTTCGGTGGAGATTTCCGTGTTGTTTTCTGATTTTCATCATCCAATAAGATAAACTTGAAGACCGAGGTTTAAACTTGGTGCCCCTGAATCCTCAAACACTCACAAAAACCCAAGTTTTGGGCCTACCAAGGAGGCTAGTATTTCGGAGTGTATATAAAATCTATTTGTCTTTTATATACACACCGGGAGTGTATATAGCCACGGCGTTTAATTAATGCAACCTGTGCACTGCAGGAGTGGTTGGATAGGCGGAACTGCCCTTAATAAGCGTGTCACGAACCATGACTCAAACACAGTAACCATCTGTGTATTCTTGGCGACGACATTTAAAACATTTAAAGTGAAAGACGGAAACATCAAAATGCGATGTTGATTCAACAAATACTGTAGTCTTACCATGGAGTTAGAAGGGAGAGGGCATTGAATTCTTCATTCTAACTTCATGGTCTTACCTCTCGAGGTGGATATTTAGAAGAAATTGTATTAAAGTTGGTTCATCTACATGTATTGTTTTGTACGTAACTACGTAGGTCAATCTTGTTGTACCCACGTATTGGCCTGTATGTTTACATGTAGTTCAAGACCTTACGAAAGTTGCTGTACTTTTGTTTTGTGAATAAAGTTCTGTATATTGACCTTTCTTGACCTTAAACCTGGTTTCATTTGACCTCAATTAACCCACGATTTGGTACTCTCCAAGCAGAGGTTTGGGCTATGGCTTTTTATCGGACTTTTTGTTATCGGGCAAAAAAAGAAAGCCCGAAAAAAAAGCAAAAAATACGCCAAAAATAAGCCCAACCCCAAACCTCTACTTGGAGAGTAACTATTTGGACATTATACTTTTCGATTTTTACCATCAAAGGGTGAAAGTGAAGAAAAGGCAGAATGAAGATGGGCAAATTGGCGTTTTCTAATCGCAAAAAAATTCATTGTATTTTGGAGGTTACGTAGCGACATCTAGCGCCTCCCCGTAGAACTACACTGTCCCGAACGTGAAGTATAATGCGCATGAGCTCGAGTTTTGGGAACACTTTATTCTGTAAAAAAATCGTTAACATAATATATATAACGATATAACAAAATGATAGCTTTCAGATGGGATATTCTTTTTAATAGATTTGTGAGGATGTTAGAAAAAAACTTCTCTCCAACATGCATTCATATAATTATATGTAACTTATACATGGTGATTGTGTCAATACCAACAGACATTCTTGCTAAGAAAAATATTGGAATGATCTGCAAATACAAAGAGTCTTGTCATCAGCCTGACAGCCTATCATGTGAACATCCAGTTTTTAGGCCACATCAATTTGATTTCAAATTGTGGGTTCTCTGATTTTTCAGGACAAATATGAAGCAACATGAAAAAAAAAAAACCTAGGCATCCTCTGATAGCCCAAAAGATGCGATAGGAGCCATGAAGTCAACATACCAGGCTGGTTAAACAATGAACTTTTTAATCAAATCAAGGCATTAGAATGGATAAACTGTAACAACTAGGAAGGCAAGGGGCTTTATTAAACTGTCTGGATCAAATTACATACATGAGCATTTTGGAGTTGAATCAGAACCTGAATCAATTTTTAATTTTGAAAATCAGAAAAAAATGAAACCGGCAAATTTGAGAAACAATTAATCAAATTGCTGTGGCCTTACCTGACAGATTTTCCTTCCATGCCTTGGTACCATTCTAGTTAGTTAATGGGGGCTCCCACACTCCTCCCATCAACCTAAGTCTATCTTTCTCAAAGTCTATCCTAGAAGTTGAAATACAATGCTAGCCTGGTTACCGGACCTCTTATACATAGTTATAGCTCCTGAGTCCTTCATCCTCTCCGCAAATATATTGCAGAGGATGTAGGACTCGGAAGCTATAATAGGTCTGGTAACCAGGCTAATACAACACAGGGCAGAGAAAGGCTGGACAAAAACATTATTTCAGTTATTACACTTGTGCGTAATCTTACAAAATTCCATGTTGCTATGGCATTTAATAGCAGCAAAGAAAAACTGATAAAAAAATCTAACACAAATAATTTATTTGAGTCTTCAGATTTTAACTGACAGAATTGTATTATAAAAAAGGTGAGTTAAAGTGTAACACAAAAAATGCATATTAAACTAGAATTCCGAGATCTCATACCTCCATGAAATAAGATCTTGATATGTTAATTTCTTCTTTAATTGTGCAAATGACCTCTGCATTAACATGATATATGCATCGTGATGTATGTTAACTTTTGATTAACTTACAGATGTCCCAAGTATGACATTCTCATCATTCACCATTATGAAATCATAGAATTTTCGCATTAATTATGCAAATTAGGTCATCATTTGCATAATTAGTATCTGTTGAAGTTCCGCCTGCCATAGGTTACATACATTACATGTATGTAAGTAGTATAATGTAAAACACTGTAATTATAGAATGTCCTCATTAATTATGCAAATAAAGTCCTCATTTGCATAATTTGCATTTAATTATGTACATCTCTCCCTCAGCTACCTACACACCAAAAATAATGAAAATATGTTGTTCCTGTCTGGACTTATTGGCTTTTAAACATTTCGCCAGAAAGTGCCCTGCAGTTCCAGAACAAGCCGCTACGGGGCCCAAACGTCATATGACTTCTTCCCAAGCACGAGAGCTACCTTCCATCAAAATTTCATGACCCTAGCAGGTCCAGATCGCGAGATATCAAAACCGGAAGTTGCGCTGCAGTACCAAGGGAAGCCACTAGGGGGACCAAAATCTCATCATTTCCAGTTTTCGTCACACCCTACCAACACACCAAGTATGAAACCAATCCATCCATGCGTTCTTGAGTTATCTTGTTGACCAACAGACAGACGGACAGATAAACGCAACTGAAAATATAACCTCCATGACACATTTCATGGAGGTAACAATTGATAATACCAAACCAAGCAAAGAAGACAATGTATACCAAGGCCATCCTATGTACATTTGTGCTTCAGGGCAACTTGCACACAGACAGACACACACACACACACACACACACACACACACAGACACTCACTCACAGACAGACAGAAACACACACATAGACACATACTACTTAACATGCAGAGAGGGTAGCTGGCACTCTCACTTGCTGACCTCAGCTAACCTCATTATTAATATCTATTTGTGCTTTTGCCAATATCAATACAATTCATTTGAAAAGTGCTGCAGGCAATATCATGATCCAGGGAAATCTATATTGAGCGAAATGGCTTCCCTTCTCCATCTTATCACATGGCCAATTATATTCCAACATTCGGGCGATCCATCAATGTGCATTGTCCTCATACATGTATGCACAGTAAGTACTAAGACGTGAGCAGACTCAAAAGTGTTATCTAGATTCATAGATCCTTTAGGCTACACCAATTTGTTGGTTCTTGGGACTTCATCAGGAAAGGTAGCCTCCATAGCATGCCAAAAACTGGGCGTTTTGGGGGTCTTCATGGTCTTTGGGAGCTTGTATCTATTATTTTCTGATTGCATATAGACAGCATAGTCAACTGTGCTAATCAGAAACAGCTGAAGACCACAACCCCCAGTTCTATAAGCCTGCTACGGAGGCTACAGGAAAGGTACATGGTAGAAAAAAAAATTGAAAACAGGCCTAGGCATCCTATGATAGGCCCAAATATCACAATAGGAGCCAGGAAGTCAACATATAGGGTTGGTTTATACATGTAATTCAAACAATGAATTTTGATGTTTTTAATCAAAGCAGTTTGCAATGTTAGATGGAAAAATAGTAACTAGGTAGACAAGGACTTTCCTGAACTGTTGGGGCAAAAACACAGGCATTTGGGAGCTGATTCAGAACCTGATTTTTGCAAATGTGAAAAAAAGGAAGAGGCAAATCCAAGAACCAATTGATGAAATTGGTGTGGCCTTACTGCCGAATGCCTCTTGCTGCTGTATGCATGTTTCTACATCCAGAATTTAGTTTTCTTTCCAAATCAACCTTCACTCGAAATCAAAATGATACCTCAACAATTAATAATTCATTTTTCATCCCACAAAAAGGCTGAGTTATTTAGATTATCATCAGTCTAGCAATTTTATGCTGTAATTTTTTTGTAGAAACTAAGGGACCACCCCTGTATAAGGCCACACCAATTTAATTTCTTGGTTAATGGATTTTTCTAGAAAAATAATGGAGCGGGGGGG